CAGTTACTGAAAAAGCTAATGAAATTGTTGAAAAAGTCCAACAAGATAAGCATATTAGCAGTGTCGATGTTGGTATGGAGTTGGATACAAACAGAAGCTGGATGTTTGGGTTCCTCATGAGTTGAGCGCGGAAAACATGATGAATCGAATCAACATCTGTGATGCGCTGCTGAAATGTAATGAAATCGAGCCATTTCTGAAACGTGTCATAACCGGTGATGAAAAATGGATCACGTACGACAATCGGAAGCGCCAAAGAACATGGACAAAAGATGATGAGCCGTCACAAGTGTTCGCGAAGCCAGGATTGACGCTAAAAAAGGTGATGCTGTGTGTGTGGTAGGACTGGAAGGGAATCGTCCACCATGAGGTACTTCCAGTTGGTCAGACGATTAATTCTCAACTCTATTGTGAACAACTGGAGAGATTACGCCACGCAATTGAAAAAAAGACAGCCTGAATTGCACAATAGGAAAAGTGTTGTCTTCCATCACGACAATGCTCAACTACACATTTCTTTGATGACCCGTAAAAAATTGCGAGAGTTTGGTTGGAAAATTTTGATGCACCTACTATATAATCCAGACATAGCACCCTCTATCTATTACTTGTTCCGATCTCTGCAGAACTCTCCCGAAACTCCCCGTTCCGAACTCTCTCAATGGAATTAAACTGGCTTCAAAAGAAGCCTCTGAAAACCACTTGATTCAGTTTTTTAACCAGAAACTACAGAAGTTCTTCACCGATGGTATCATGATTCTACCCAAAAGATGGCGAAACATTGTCGATAATAATGGAGCATATTTGATTTAAATAAATTCATTTTCACAATATAAAAAATCCAGTTGAATTTTACTAACAAAACGCCACGAACTTTTTCCCAGACCCAATACTTATTTATATGACATGTATTATAGAATAGCATAAAAAGCTTACATGTGTATTGTAAAATAATGGAAAAGTTTACCTTTACTTGCTTTTTAGATCTACCTCTGGCACGACCTCGTGCTCGACCGCGTGCTCTACCACGAGTCCTACCTCTCATTCTTTTACTTCCATCTTCCTCCATTACTAAAACAAATTTTCATTAACTGTAAAAATAAAAATTAATGCCAAACGTCTGATATGAATTGTATAGTATATTTCTAAACATAAAGTTCTAGAAATAACACATAAAAGATAATTATAAAATATGCAAAAAATGAATATTATGTATTGCTAAAATCATAATAAACAAATACAAAAAAAACGTAAATACCATATGTTTAACGATACCGAACTTACTAAATGAATACATTACATACGTGTATAAAACAGGTGAAACGATTTTCAAATTCAATATATTCAAAACATCACTTATTAATTATAGGTTATATTTCTAATTCTAAGTAATGCAATTCTAAATTTGAATTCATACTTGCGTTAAAAAGATTTATTGTAACGCGTGTCACAGAGAGTCAAGTTACTCACATTTAAATAATAATTAAAGGAAAAAGGTTTTTACTACTATACTGTCCAGTATTTTACATTAAACTTCGTCATTTCACATAGTGAATGAAGAAATACATATGTATGTACATAATCTGTTGCTACAACCATCATTGTAGTAATCCATGTGACGCAATACAGTCATGTCTCACCATAGTAAGCCATTCTACTTCATGATGTAGCCCGTGACTTTCCCCTTGCCCGCCGCGAGGCATGTTACTAATCATATAGTGTTAGAATATCATATATGTGGTAATAATATTATTATCTACGTGTATTGTATCTTCAAATTCAATTGTATTCTTATGTAAAAGTATTTGTTTATTTCTGGACCACTTCAATAGTTGATTCCGTTCCAATATTGTTTGCAATATTTTAAAAATTAATTATCAATATTTAAAATATTAATATATTGATTTTTCGATGTATATAATGTACAAAATTTGTAATGTATTATATTGTATTATATTATATATGTCGTTTTTCTATTATTAATTAGATATACGCGCGTACATGTATAGCGGCTTGTCCCCGTCGCTCACCACCAGAGGGACTTGTTTCTGCAATCATCTAATTCGTCTCAGTTCCTCAACTGTCCTTCCGATATCTCCGCGTCTAAGATAGCATTATGGGATGGGATTATTATTATCCCACAAGTGTCTTTTATATTAAAGTGTGTTATGTATAAAATAATTGTGTACGTAGTTATTGTACATAAAATGTGTATCATCTATTAGACAAAATAGATATTTATGCATAAGAACGTACCCATAAGTCTCTGTTACCATAAAACAGAACCATAAGAAAATGAAGACAGAACTGTGTTGTTGGTGTTTTTTGTATAGATACAATAGCGAAGGTTACGTTCGAAAATTGTGCTTAACTTTCGTGAATTAAGCCATTAATGGGACATTTTCTTATTTACACAACGTGGAAAGCAAAAAACTACATTTCTTCATTCATAAATATCTGTATGCACGAATTATTAAAGCCGAAAGAAACTTTCTTAACCTCTACTTCGATTTTAAATTTGAAGCGGCATCAAGTATCATAGCAATCTAACATAACGTTAAGATATGTTTATACAATATACGATATAAACAGCAGAAAAGATACATATTCAATAGTACATAACCTTGCAAACATATTGACAAGATTGAGATTGCAAACATAAACAATATAATATAATGAGATGATAATTGTAATTTTATTTTAATATAATTGAGAATTGATAATAATATCAAATTTGGGAAAATGTCTGTGAAAAGAAAAGCTGACACTCAAGTACCAGCAGAGGAGAGTGACTTATTGTCAATTAGACCGCTAGGTGCAGGACAAGAAGTCGGGAGATCATGTATTATGTTGGAATTTAAAGGGAAAAAGATTATGTTAGATTGTGGTATTCATCCTGGATTGTCTGGAATGGATGCATTACCATTTGTAGATTTAGTAGAGGCAGATGAAATTGATTTATTATTAATTTCTCATTTCCATTTGGACCACTGTGGAGCTTTGCCATGGTTCTTACAAAAGACGAGTTTTAAAGGACGATGCTTTATGACACATGCCACCAAGGCTATTTATCGTTGGTTGTTATCTGATTATATTAAAGTTAGCAACATTGCTACAGAACAAATGTTGTATACAGAATCAGATCTAGAAACTAGTATGGATAAAATAGAAACAATTAATTTCCATGAAGAAAAGGATGTGTTCGGAATCAAATTTTGGGCATACAATGCTGGACATGTACTAGGTGCTGCTATGTTTATGATAGAAATAGCAGGAGTTAAAATTTTGTATACTGGAGATTTTAGTCGGCAAGAAGATAGACATTTAATGGCTGCTGAAATTCCTAATATTCATCCTGATGTCTTAATTACTGAATCTACTTACGGCACACATATACATGAGAAAAGGGAAGACCGTGAAGGAAGATTTACAAATTTAGTTCATGAGATTGTTAATAGAGGAGGAAGATGTTTAATACCTGTATTTGCATTGGGCAGAGCACAAGAATTATTGCTTATATTGGACGAATATTGGAGTCAACATCCTGAACTCCATGAAATTCCCATATATTATGCCTCATCTTTAGCAAAGAAATGCATGGCAGTCTACCAAACTTATGTAAATGCAATGAATGACAAAATTAGAAGACAAATAGCTATCAATAATCCTTTTGTATTTAAACATATTTCTAATTTGAAAGGTATTGATCATTTTGAAGATATTGGGCCATGTGTAGTAATGGCGTCTCCTGGTATGATGCAAAGTGGTTTATCAAGAGAATTATTCGAATCTTGGTGTACTGATGCCAAAAATGGAGTTATAATAGCTGGTTATTGTGTAGAAGGAACATTAGCTAAGACTATTTTATCAGAACCAGAAGAAATAACAACCATGTCTGGGCAGAAGTTACCACTGAAAATGTCTGTTGATTATATATCATTTTCCGCACATACAGACTACCAACAAACTTCAGAATTTATACGCATATTAAAGCCACCACATGTTGTGCTGGTACATGGAGAACAAAATGAAATGGGAAGATTAAAAGCTGCTTTACAAAGAGAATACGAAGATGATCCTAATACAACAATGGAGATACATAACCCTAGAAATACTGTAGCTGTGGAATTATATTTCAGAGGAGAAAAAACAGCTAAAGTAATGGGTACATTGGCAATGGAAACGCCAAAAACGGGACAGACATTGTCTGGGGTTTTAGTGAAAAGAAACTTTAATTACCATATGTTAGCACCCTGTGATTTATCAAAATATACAGATATGAGTATGAGTCAAGTTATTCAACGACAAAGTGTATATTTCTCAGCATCATTACCAGTACTGAAACATCTTCTAATACAAATAGCTGGAAACTTAGAAGTGGTGGATGATAAAAAATTACGAGTCTTTAAAAATATTGATGTTACTATAGATGGAAAAATTGTTACCATGGAGTGGATTGCAACACCAGTAAATGATATGTATGCAGATTCTGTTTTGACTGCAATACTTCAAGCTGAAATGATGGAACAGCCACCAAAAGTACTACCAGCACCTACAAAAATGGATCGAATGCATTTTAAAGAATGTTTAATAGAGATGTTACAAGAAATGTTTGGTGAAGATTCTGTTCCTAAAATTTTCAAAGGAGAGAAACTCTATGTGACAGTTGATGGGAAAAAAGCACACATAGATTTATTAAATTTAGAAGTAACTAGTAAGGAAGATGAAACTTTTCAACAAATAGTACAAACAGCAGTATCAAAATTACATCAATCATTGGCCCCACCTTGTGATACAATCTAAAAGATAGTATTTTTACAATTATTTGTAAAGTAACATATTTATTTATAAGATTATTATAACTACACA